AGGAAAAAAAATCGTAAAAAATATCACACGTGTGAAACATCTGGCGCATATATATATATATATATATATATATTCACTATATTATACTACATTACACTATAGGTATTGTATACACTATATATTAATATTATCTTCTATATATTAAATTCTATTCGGAAAATAACATATTGATTGAATAACATATTAAGACTGGAAGATATAAATATTACATTTAAAAAATTAAAAATTTTTCAATAAATAGATTTCGATAATAACAAATAAATATAAATTGTGTATTTTAAAAATTGGATCGTTCGTTTGAAGAAGATATTGTTAATATATTTTTAAACGTATACATTTTTAGATTTATTAAATCACAATATTATATCGTCTTTTTCATTTATCGTTAAGTTAAAATAATTCAACAGCAAGAAGTTTCACGAGTCTAATATGATTAGATTTACTTGGAGATCATTTTCCTACGCAAAGTGCACCGCCGTTCGATAACGATTACACATAAATTAATGAAACACCGGACGTCGCAATAAATATATACACACCGCAATTTATGTTAGTACCGGAAATTGCCGATAATTACCTCCTCGCACAGCATCAGTTACTGCGCACGCGAGCGCAAGAAGTAGTATTGCCTTAGCAGTCATGGTTTCCGGGGACAATCCTTATCGCTTCCAGAATTTGCGAAACCTTCCGAGATCAGGTGTTTCTACCGCGCGGTCTTCATCCCTCGACGCGAAACTATCAAAACACGTCTCGTTATTTCACCGATTTAATCTGCAAATCTCGTAGATCAATCAATATCAAAGAGTCATCACTGGAAAAAGGAACTTTCCCGATAAACGATTTTTAATTACGTCAATCACACACTGTATTCTTCTTAAATCTCTTTCTTTCTTCTTACAGAGTCTCTCGCTACTTTTAATTTTTGAAAGTTTCACTTCGAAAGATTTTAAGGCTGCGTTCGGAAATATCACCCGGGTACCCCCGTGTATCATCTTATCCTTATTTAACATTGGGTGAACAACAAGGATAAAACGATACACGGAGGTACTCAGGTGATATTTCCGAAGTGATGTTGACGCAGCCTAAATTATACGGAGATGTATCTACCGAGATCTGTCGTTGCCGCGGTGGCTGGGCTCTTTCTCCTGCGGTGAAAATACCCGTGATAACCACCCGGACGATAAACCGGGGTGCGGATCGGCGGCTTGATTGGAGACGAAGATGGAGGTGGAGAGAGAGAGTCGAGAGATCGTGCGGCGTTCACTGCGTGCGACTAAATAAGTATTTCCGTTACTGGCTGATCGACGAATGGTCGAACGATGAGGGAGAGGATCGGATGTTAAAGGTCTCCTGATGCTTTCTCTGTTTGCGCAGAGGTCTGAGGTCAGCTTGTTTGATAAGATATAAGTTATATACGACGAAATCCTAGGAAACTTTGCCTTTGTGCGTAAGAGAGACATCAAGAGTGTCGCACGCATGGAACCGTCAGCTCGAATATCGTTAAAATCAGTTTCGCTGACTTGACTAAAAGAGAAGAAATAATTTAGTTTTAAATAAAGTTAGTTTTACTAAGGCATATTCTTTCATTACGATCGCACGTGTCTTTGCGTTGAATTTGTTTTTAAAGAAAAATACAGTTAAACGAGATGAACTTGAGATAAACCGATTTGCTCGAAACAATTGTAAAAATACGCCGAAAAATAATATGTAAATTAGGATTAATATATCATTTCTTTTTACTTTTTTTGACTATTCGAAGTTGATCATTTAATTTTCCTTCATATAAATAAAAATAGTTTTTCCTCCCTTTTTATTTAAATGCTACACTACACCAAAAAAATGCGTGTAATTTTACTTGGAAATTACATGTCTATGACTAGAAAATTATCAAAATTACTTAAATATGATTGAAAATTTTCAACTTCCAGTAAATTTTCAATCATATTTAAATAATTTTGATAATTTTCTAGTCATAGACATGTAATTTCCAAGTAAAATTACACGCATTTTTTTCAGTGTATATCAAATATACATTAGTATACACACATTTATTGTTTTGGTTCCAATGCGATTATTTTTATTTTGTCGAATTATATGTGAGAAATGAACGATGAGTACATACATAGAAGTATCAAAGAGATTAAAAAGTACCGTTGTCCTTGGATTGGTAATAATTCAAAGGTTCAAATGCAACGAACAACAATAAGAAATGAGAAATTAAACATGAGGAATTAGAGGAATCAAGGAAGTAAGAAATTTCAGTCCGCGCAATACAAAAATTAGTTTTTTAATTTATTATACATGTAGACGTGTAGTAAGAAGTAAATTTCTTTTTTATTGCACATAATAAAATTTACGATAAATTTATTCCTTTGTACATTATGAGCAAACATATTAAAGATTAAAATTGATCAAATTTAATTTATATAAGTAATGGTTAATTTACTACGTAATATTTATGTTATTGTTAATTACAATGGATAGAATTATTAAAGATAAATAAAAGACATAAATAAACAATGCTTGAGCAAATGAAATAAAATCATTTTACATATAAATATGTCTGTATTTTACATAGAATTTATTTTTGTTTCTAAAATTCGCAAAATATATTATTTCGGATATTCTGAATATCTTGAAAAATATTACCATTTTGATAATTGTGATACAAAAAAGTCACGATTAAATGTAAACTTTTAATTTCTGAATAAAAAAGAGGACAGCATTAAAATGTCCTCTTAATGTCCAAAAAATCGTGGACATTACCGACGAGATCGTAGACATTGGCTACGTAGTTTAATGCCCACGTTTTGTGGACATAGAGGCGCTTCAAAATAAGGTTGCAGCTAAGGCCCTGTGTACAATGAAGGAAATATTAGGAACAGGAATAGATGTTAAGATTTCAACCTATCAGAAACCGTGTATTCCGGTAACTGATATCTGATAGGTTAAAATCTTAATATCCATTCCTGTTCCTAATATTTCCTCTATTGTGCGCAGGGCCTTAATATCCGGGCATGGCCGCTCTCAGGCTCCTCTCTGGTTATACTAAAGGCCGCAGCACAGACTCTTGCATAACGTATAACGCATAGTGCATAAGCGAATCAACTAATCAGAATCTTTCCTTTCCTTCCATTCCATGGAAAAGAAGAATTTCGATTGGTCGATTCCCTTATGCACTATGCATTATGCGTTATGCAAGAGTCTGTGCTGCGGCCATAACCCTCTATATAATATATATATAAGCAGAATCTCTATCCCCCGAAGAGGTTTTACTCTGGATCTATAGATCAAAGCTACGTTTACACCGTGCGCTTAGTCCGCGACTTATACAATAGGTGTCTTTGTTTAACCTACAGGATAAACAAGGACATCTATCGTATAGGTCGCGGACTAAGCGCACGATGTAAACGTAGCCCAAGTTACGCATGGTACTGTGACCCACGAATAAGGTTGGAAAACCATACAGAGGATTTTAAGAAGAAGAGTCGTCCTATGAGGCGTATTTGCCGCGTATCGCGTAACCGCGTAACCAATCAGTAATCAGTCAGACACGAAATCACAGCTGATTACGGCAATGGATGGTTACGCGTAGAGACTCTTTAATCATGAATAAAGGGTTTCTAATTACGCGGTTATGCTGGATTCACACTGCATCCGATTTTCGTCGTACGACGAAAATCGGATGCAGTGTGAATCCAGCATTACGCTTACGTGGCAATACGCCTTATGCTGGTTCTACATTAGTAGCATCGCAGCGTCGTAAGCGTTGCGGTCCAATCAACATCCATCTAACTCGACTCTGATTGGACCACAACGTTGCGACATGCTTGCGATGTGACTAATGTAGAACCAGCTTTATGGAACTCGAGCATCAGATAACGGATCGCACAAAAACTATCCATTATTTAAGCAATTTGTATATAACATTTTTTATTCGTCACATTGTATGTTTATTCTACAAACATATGTGAAAACCAATTCATTTCACTGGGATCCAATTTTTCATATAATTAGTGCAGGGTGGTGCAGGGTCCTTTAACATTTTGTCCCATATCACGGGCTGCGTTGGGAAACGTCGCTCGGATGCCTCTAAAGCCGGAATCAGATTATGCATTGAAGATTTACCTTGCTTTCCAGCAAAGACACAGTCAGACACTGTGTAAGACCGGAATCATACTACGCATTGAAGATTGAGGTTGAAGATTGAAGATTGAAATTTGACCAATAAGGATAAAGAAATTTTAGCTCCTTTCATTTCGATTGGTCAAATTTGAATTTTTCAATCTTCAATCTCATTCTTCAATGCGTAGCCTGATTCCGGCCTAACACAGCTTGCTTTCCAGCAAGGACATAGACACTGTGTAACACAGTGAGTCGTTTCATCCTTGTTTAACGTTGGCAAACAACAAGGATAAAACGACTCACTGTGGGTGCTTTCCAGCAAGGACATAGTCAGACACTGTGTTACACAGTGTCTATGTCCTTGCTGGAAAGCACCCTGTGTAAAGCCTGCCGCACACGATGCTTGTTTTCCTGCTGGATTCCTAGCTAGATTAGAATCTTACCATCGTATTGGCCGCGGTACTGATAGTGTCAGCATCGTAGCCAATACGGTGGCAAGAATTTATTCTAGCTAGCAATCCAGCAAGAAAATAAGCATCGTGTGCCGCCGGCTTTACAGTGTCTGACCTTGCTGGAAAGCAAGCTTAGATTGAAGATCTAGATTAGAAGATTAGAAGAAAGATTGAAATTTGACCAATCAAAACAATAGAAGCTAAAATCCCTTCGTCCAAATTTCAATCTTCACTCTTCAATCTCAATCGTCAATGTGTAGTCTGATTCCAGTCTTACATTAAATGTTAAACAAGGACAGATGATGAATCCGAGGCATCGGAGGCATCTGAGCAACGTTTCCGAACGCAGCCACGCATGCGATGCGCGAGATGCGACAGTGGCGACAATTTGTTATCAAATTGCATATGGCAGGCGGCGTCATGCGTTCGGTGTTTACGGTTTGTCAAGTGAGATTTCAACCAGGGATGCCGTCGCCGGCGATTTTTGTGTGAGACAGGGTCATTATCGTGGTGCCGATGGTTATCGACGATCGACAGCGACCGTTCGAGCGTGGCGCGATGCCGGCGATCTCGGCCGGCTTCGGCGAGCACATTGAGGTTAGTTTTTTGAATTTGCGCCCGTTTGCGCCGTCGCTCTATGGTAACGCGCGAGTACGCGTGAACCGATGCATTTGTATTTCTTTTACAGGAATACAAAGTGTTGAATTTATTGGGCAAAGGTGGCTACGGAAGCGTCTATCGTGCAAAATGTCTCCGCAGCGGCGTAGAAGTTGCGATCAAAATGGTGATTTTCTTATCCGTTTTCTCTTGGATTGAGAGATGCCTGTCACTCCAGTTGCATTGTTGTTGCTAGCCCCGAGATACTTTAAATATGAGCTTTGAAACGCACAAAATTGTTTGTCGATCTTTGCATATTTTGAAGTATTGTGTAAAAGAAAGTGGATCAATATCAAAATCTTGAGATCACACTTTGCTTAAATCCATATTCAGCTTGTTATATAGACCCGAAGTTTATTGCAAAATTTCTCTTTCAAAATGAACAATCTATATCTGTTGTATTTTCTTCTATCTCTTTTATATCTATTCCTAGATCGACAAGAAAATGATGCAGGTTGGTGGGATGATGGATAGAGTTAGACAAGAAGTAGGGATACATATACGATTGAAACATCCAGCTATTCTGGAGGCATACACGTGTTTTGAAGATGCAAATTACGTGTATCTAGTTTTAGAATTATGTCATAATGGAGAACTTCAACGTTATCTCAAAGCACAAGGAACTAAAACTCTATCCGAAGAACATGGTATATTTATATACATGAGAAATATACATTATAAATTATATATTAAGTTACATCCATTATAACAAAATTTTACTGTTTTAGCTGCCTACATATTCAAACAAGTAATACAGGGTTTACTTTATCTCCATTCCTATCAAATAGTTCACAGAGATTTGTCATTGTCCAATTTACTTTTGACTAAAGATATACAAGTGGTACGTATAGGAAAGAAATAGCATTTTTTATTAAAAAAGATTGTTTCTTTTTTTATAAAATTTAGTTTTTGTACTCATAGAAAATAGCGGATTTTGGATTGGCCACACAGATGAGTAAACCAGATGAAAAGCATTTGACTTTGTGTGGCACACCAAACTACATCTCGCCCGAAGTAATTTTTCAAAGTCGCTGTATAGATTGCGATATTAAGCAGGATTGTGACATTGGAAAATTTTTAGATTGCTACGAGATCTTCACATGGACCGGAAACAGATGTATGGAGCTTGGGATGTATGTTGTATACTTTGTTGGTGGGCAAGCCACCGTTCGAGACAGACGCAGTTAAGAGTACTCTGACCCGAGTAGTTATGGCTGATTACGTAATGCCACTTCATCTATCAGATAACGCAAGGGATTTGATAGATAAGCTATTGAAGAAAAATCCGAAAGAAAGGATACGCCTGCGGGATATTCATAAGCATGCCTTTATAACGAGTATAGAAAAGAGTAAACTACATAATGTAAGTGAGGACATATTTAAGATATAGCAGCATCAAATGCAATGTGAACATATTAATCGTTAGAGTTGTTCTTTTTAGTTGAATTTATGTATTTAATTGTATTCATGCAGGTTCATTTTTTTCTTTTTATTGGAGAGAGAAAAGATGAACTGTGCAAAAGTTCAGTTAAAAAAAACAGATCTACTGATCTGAAAGAAAATGCCATTAAATTGACCAGTCCATAATTGCAATACGTTCATGTTTTTCATTATTTTTGTTTATTCAGGAAAGAAACAATACGAGCAAAAATCTATTTACTGATATGGATTCCGGGTTTGGTAGGACACTTTCATCGTATGGTCGACCAAAAATGCGATCCCGATCGGAGGAAAGAAGGTCTACCAATGAAAGAATGTACCAGGAAAGAATGTTAATGATGCGTATGGTCAGTGTGCAAAGCGATCCGTTATCCGAGTCTATTGCGAAAACGCAATCAAATCTTAATCACAGAATGAGATACGCTGATTACCGCCCGAAAGATAATTCTTTGATTCCGATACCACGTGATAGAGCATTTTCGCAAAACGAACAGTACGGCAATTACAATGCCTATAACGAATCCGAAAAACCAAGGTTGGTGGAAAGACACAAACCAAGGAAGGAAAACATCGTGGAAAACCGTAGCACGGAAGGAACTGAAAAGAGCACAAAGTTACAAGTGTCGCCTTTAAATTCCAATAGGCTAGAACCTAAAAGACACAGAACGAAAAGTGCAATACTCACCATTCTGGATAACGGAGAAGTGTGCATTGAGTTTATCAAGCGCAGAAATGGCACGGTACGTAAAGAAAAGTAATACAAAGTTCGCGATATAAATGGAAATATCGTGTTATTTTATGGGAAAAAAAACTGATATACATATGTATGATAATTACAAAAAAATTACATAAAAGTATCTAACTATTCATAAATATCTCACTATATCTAACTATTTATAAATATCTCACTATTCATACCGTAGGAAAGGATAAACGAAGTGTGTAGAATATCAGGTGACGGTTTGCGAATCGTTCTTTACAAATTGAACCCGACTGTGGAGATTGGCTCGCAACCACCATCATTGCCTAATCGGGGCGCCGATAGTATTTACTCGTATGAAAATTTACCGGCGTGTCATCATCGGAAATATATGTATGCCTTTCGTTTCGTGAAACTGGTTCAGGCAAAAACCCCAAAATTAACACTGTACACTCCACGCTCGAAGTGCCTGTTTATGGAAAATGGTCCACAACCCGACTGTGAAGTGCATTTTTATAACGGCATAAAGGTATTCAGCTATCAATTCAATTATCCTATTATGTATATGTGATAAAATAAGAACTGTGTTATTTAACATTTGTATTTTATATTTAGTTTTTATATTTTCATATTTCAGGTTGTCCGGACAGACGGTGTGGTGAAGATTACCGATAACAATGGTGCCACGTTTGTCGAGGGTGCGTTCCCGTCGCATCTCGAGACCTATTACGAGTATTATTACTCGGAATGTTATCAGCGTTGTTTCTGCTTTCCTGTGATAATCGGACGACGGCCCAATACAGTCTTGAGTGATTCTGCCTACCTTCAGGGAAAAGAAAACATCTCACATGCTACAAAATCCCCTGTTGTAAGTAGCAGAGAGGATACCTAATTATTTTACGTTGCTAAATTAATGTTTAATCTCTTTCAGATGCCGTCGTTCGACGCTAGTTGTTCCGTCACATCAATGGGGACTTCTAAGAAGGGGACTTCACGCAATATGAATTCTATACGTAATTCTAATCATAATACGAAGATAGCTATGCCAGGAATCGGCTATGCTACCAAATTGTCATCCGGATATATTAGGATCGACTATAACGACGGATCCGTCGTAATTGTAAATTACTGCCTAAATATAATTTCTTAATTTTAATTAGTTATTAATTTAACTTTCCAGACAGATTATTAACGATAGTTTATTAGATAATCGTTCGACTAATGATCGAGTATATTTATATTTTATCGATTGTGGTTTATTGCAGGTAAACAGTGACATACCCAACAGTGACATAATACATGAGAATAGTGACGGCATCGTTACACGATATAATAGACATCATCAGCAAAACTTGGCGATATCGGTCAAAGAGAAGCTTCAACAATTGCCGATGATTATCGAGCGTTTTATAGAACCGATGTATAAAGGCATTCGGTAGCTCCGCTTGAAAGTGTAAAATATTATGTATAGTACAAGAAATTATCTTTACCTATAGACTGTAAGCTTGCTTTATAAATTAGCATAGATTTATAGAGTTTATACAAAATTAATAAAGGCTTGAAACTGTGATCAGGCTAGATATTGAGATTGGATTGGAATTTAACCAATCAAATCAAAATTCACTTGAAATTAGTTTTCTTTCTTCTGATTAATTAAATTTCAATTCAGTCTCAATCTCTAATCTGATCTTGAACTTTACGAATATTTTCTAAGTATACAATAATATGAAATAAAAAGGTATATATTATATTCTTTGGCACGCGCTTGATTCGAGTTACTATTGCAATTGTATAAAGTAAGAAAAAAAGGAAAGAGAAAATCGTTAAATAATGAAATAAGAAAAATAATTAATGAGAATGTTTTTTAAATATCGATATTTATTTTTATAGATCGAAGACAAGACAATAATTTTGTATGAGTGGAATAAAATTGTAAATTTTTCCATTATTTGTATTATGTAAAGAAGCATTCTGCAAAATCCGATATCTCTTCAATCAAAGTGACAAACTGCAGGTATATTTACTATTTTATCAATAATGATATATTTAAAAAATGATTATGATCGCTGTTTTTTTTGCCGAACAGCAATGAAAAAAGAATTTGTTAAAAAATATAATTTCCATTTTTCACATAAAAATATTACAGCAGGCTTCTCTTTTTCCCACATTATCTTTCTGCGATCCTTTTATCTTTGAAATTCAATTGTATCGGATTGAAAGTGTAATCCTCGGTCGCTTCGGCGTATTTACCGCGACTCCTCGATCGAATCGGGGTCATAGCTGATCATCGTCACTCCCGCCAAGCCTCGCTCCATTGAAGGGAACGACGGTTTCGACGAGCGTTTACTACGGCGGCGCGCCCTACGATTTAACCATTCGACGTTGCGGGAGCAACGATCCCATCATCCCATTCACCATACGGAACGTAACGGACGCGCTCCGTGACGCCATGTTGATGCCGTCTTTGGCCGAAGATACCCTGTGGAAGTCGTTCTCCGTGATTCCCGAAATCCGACGCGTGCACATGTGATTAGATAAGATTGATAATATCATCGAGAGAGATCATCCGTGAAGCCGTCCGCAGATGGTTCGCGTAGTCCGTCAATCGCTGCGCCGTCTCCCGGAGTGATTTTGACAGATGGTAAACAAGCGAGTACTATCTTGTCATCTGTGAACAGAGTTCTGTGAACAGAGATCAAGATTCTGTAAGCGTAAAGGTCTACATTAAGATCTCGCGCACAAGACGACTAGTTAATGGAATTTGAAAATTCATCGAGTTCGCCAGTTTTATCCGCCTTCTTTCTCTTTTGCACCCAGCGATTATAACCGTGAGTGGGATGTCCTTCGCTGCTGCGATCGTACGATGTGTGCGGTGTAATCGCTGCGGTAATTAACGAGAAACGGCTGCTGTAATCGCGGATTCCGCGACGCGTACGGGCGCTGCCCATCCTGTCTCATCTTTGCTAACCTCAAGCGGGCGACGTGAACTACGAAAATGGGTAAGTCTACGTTAATCTCGACAAGAATCTGTCTGTCGCTCTTCAGTTGTAAATTAACACGATTGTATGATGTTTACAATCTGATCTAAGACTGTATCGAACCACTGTGGGCGTCATAACAACGACAGCTATACGATTGTAAACATTGGAGCTATTTCTGGTTTAATTCGTTGAATGATAAATTAATTTTTTTTTTTATGAACACTGAGCTAATTTTAATGTGATGTAAATTTTAATTGATCTAGAGCATGAATTAATTCCAAGAAAACTTGTTAAGTTTCATTAAGAGACAGATGACGTTCGCACGCAAGCGAAAGAGTCACGGTTGTCGACAATAATAGACGCCACGAGCTAATTATTTCCGTCCAAGGCAATAAGGCCAACTTAGCACGCTAATGATACGTTTATATTACCGAGTTCGTGAATGAACTGCCGTCGATAGCGAATATACTGATACTCACGACACATGTCGCGCGTTATCTGACTGAACTATAGATAAATGATTAGTCATCGTCGATAGTATGATTTAGTCATTGGCCGAACGCCCAGCTTTCACCACGCATTCATTTATTGTTACTGTTAAGTCGTTTGTTGTCCTATAATTGTATTAAAATGACAAGATTACGTCAAGCTAGAGAGAGTCTATCACTGCGTGGTAACTTTGGGAGTAATGCCAGCTTAGATAGGTTTTCTGAAAATAGTCTACACGGTCTAAATTCAAACGAACAAAGTTGCAGTAAGTGTTTAAAAAATGTCATTGAAATGTGATAATAAATGGTACATACATAGGCCATTATCTAATATACATTGTTTACTAGTATCAGTACTGAAAATCTACAGTATACGCAACGTGAACTATCTAGTATTGTTATACATCGGAACATGACTACAGACTTGTAAATGTAGATGCAATAAAAATTAAATTCCACTTTTCGTTACAATGGATTTTATTAAGTAAATGGAATTTATCTTAATGATTTATGTGGTAGTTTACGGTTTATATATCTATGTAAAATTTACTTGTGACATGTTATAGTATCTAGATTTTAATTGTAATGAAATTTAATTGTAAATGATTTCAACTAAATTTATAAACGGATGTACGGCGCTTCCCATAACAAAATGACAAATGTAAAGGAATTTCCTTGTTTAGGGAACATGTGCAACGAATGCATGGCCAGAGTGCCATATGCGTCTCTTATAGCAACTATTATGTCTTGTCTGGGAATTGGAATCTTTTGCGGAACCATGTACAGAGGTGCAACGTTGTGGGCTCTTATGATGGATCAGGTAAAAAGCATGAGAGCTTGATACGTTTTTTCAAAAATAATGTAGATTCTATAAATTTCAAGTTATCAAATGATTCAGGTATTTCACCTGCATCTTGCATGGTTAGAAGCGATGCAGTTAGTGTTTGCATCGGTCGGAGCGTGCATGGCAGCTTTAGGATTCATGATTTTGTGCGTCGGTTGTCTTACAACTGGTGCTACAAGGCATAAAGTCTATCGTGCATGGAGATCCCGAGTGGGTGGACGTATCTCCTGTGCTGTTGTAAGTATTTAAAGTATAAAATCTTTATTATTTCCCTATTAAAAATCTCTGATGACTACAAGCTATATCTTTAATTTTTCAGTTTATGACTATCGTCTACATTCTGCAAATAGCTTGGCTTCTGATATTCGCATTCCTGGTTATGACCACGCTGATATTCACCATATTCTGGAATTTGTGCAGCAATCCACGTGTTCAATCTCTTGACGATTGCATTGATTTTACTCAATTCAGTAAGTTTTCATATTTGTGTCACATCAATATATAAATAGATTGAAATTAGAACATTGTATTTAAATCCGTATTTCCTTCTTCTATTTTCATAAAATGGTTACTTTATTTCAGTTTATTATAATTACTATTATATAGTATTTGAATATAATATATTAAATGTTCGTTATCGTACAAAACTTAGAACTGGTAAAGAGTAATCAAATTTATGCTATTTTAGGTTTTATGTTTCCAAATAATACACGAGTGCAGGACATGCAAGTGTGCGGACCCCAGGAAGTCAAACTGTTCTGTAAGGATTTTGTGGAGAAGGCTGAGGTGATGTTCATCTTGGCGACCGCGGCGAGCATGCTTGTGATTCTAAGCTTGATACACTACCTGATGTGTTTATCTGCTAATTATGCACACATACGAGATCATGAAAAGTTCCAAGAGCTGCAAGAACTGCAGTACCTACAGGATGCGACCGATCCAGACTCTCCTCAATCGGGAATGGGTACTCTCGGCTCTCATCGCGGTAAAGATAGGTTCTAGGATACGGCCCGCGAGATCTTCACCATGAACCCCTTGTAGCCTACCGTCTACTTGAGTATCTACATAGGTCATCCTGATGATTGGAAATCTCTTCCGGATACTACTTCCTCTTCTCTATGTACCTAAATTCGGTATTCTGCTCATTACGGTGTGTCTGTCGCCGACAGTAGTCTACTGATTGGAGGATCTTGCGGGAACCAACTCTATGCCGTCCATTATATCTGCGACTGTCGTATGTAAGCATCTACTCGTTTTTTTTATATCAAAAAGATGTTATTTTATTGAAGCATGTATCGGTTTATCATAAGACTTTCATTTTTAACGCTAATCGCTTGATTCAAATCGAAATCATTTACAGAGTTTTGGTCTAGGGCGTTTTCGCTCACGACGAATATCATTCCATAAACTTGTATTAGTAGGAAAAATATTTGAAATCTATCCCGTGCATGTTTGAAGTGTACGAGATTCCGGTGCACAAAGATTTTTTTAACTTGAAAGTATTGTTTTCTTTTACTTCGATGTACGCACACGCACTCTATATTGTGCGTAATAGTATTATGCGAGTATTTACGACTTTAGATCATTTACTGGTCTAATCTTTCGGTATTAGGGCTAATTATCGGACTATATATATCATGTACTGTTTTCAGTACTGAGATTTTTTACGCAAGAGATTTCTTTTATATACATATAGATATATACATATATATATATATATATGTTTATATGCTAGGCTACTAAGCATGTATTTTCGTTACATTACGGATATTTAAGGCGGTTCTTTAGTAAATCGAATTACCATAGAAATGTCTAATTTTTTTATTTAATGAAATTGAAGTACTAAAATTGACGTGTGCAAAATTCTACGGTAGGTTAACAATGAAATAAGAGAGAAAAAAAATGTTGAAAATGTTGAAAACCTTTCATGTATAACTTCGTGATAGATAAGGCTCGCAGACGTTTCTTTAACTAACTGTATACAAATCTTACCATAGACTTTTCTGAAAAACGAGATTATGATTTAAAAAATTATGATTTTAATGGTCACAAAGAAGTAATAGGTCAACGGCCATTCTGGAAAGATATTTATATACATAAATTTGCATATAAATTTAATCTCGAAAAGTAAATATCACATAATCTCATCTTGTTTTCGTTCGATGAAAATGCAGCTCTTGATTTACTATCGTATATTTCATACTATTTCGTTAAGATATACATGTAGTTTCAATATTTTATCCAAATTATGTAGATATTTGTACTCTTGGGTGGGCCCTGGTGAGGCATCCCAAATTTTCGACACTTTACTAAAGAACCACCTTAAAGCACGCTGGGAAAATTAGAATAAGATAATAAAAGAGACAACTATATATATTAACTAGTATATAAAAAAAGATCAAACAACGACCGCATATATCGTAATTGTTAAAATATTATTATTTATCACATTTTCGCTGAATATCTTCCCAGCATATTCGCTACGAAATATTCATGTCGTTTGTGCAATTATACAGAACAAAGCTCATATTTCACATTAAGCAGTTTTCTATGGAAAATTTTATACAATGTATATTTCCATTAAATGTTACAGAAAACGTAACAACGTCCGTATATATGAAAGAATATATCTATATATCCGTAGAGTCTCTATTACTTGCGTATATGTATAATATCGATTTGTGAAAAGAGCAATATATTTTTCCGGATAGTAAAAGAATTCTGCTATAAAATATTAGAAAAAGGAACGAAAGTTAACAAATTCTTCTATGCACGTTACTTGTGCCAAAATAAAAAGAAATGAATTTTTGCTCTGAACAAAGATCTATGAATTATAAAACATGTTGAGGCACAAATAAAAAAAATATACGTACAATCGCGAGATCGCGCGCGCGCGCGCGCGACTCGTCACGTATTATTATTACTTGCTCAAATGATTTGACAATGGCTGCTAATTTTCCGTAATGCAATTACCGGGCGAAAAATCTTGCGCGACCCGAAACTTAAATTAGAATACGATCTTTTATCTATAATATATATATATTATATATATATAATTCTAGATTTTTTTATTATACACACCTGATGAGTAAAGTTATACACATATCAAATGACAATTTGAATTTATATGCAGCTGTAAAAGGTTGTATATATAGAGAAGAATAAAATGGCACGCAGTATGTATATTTTCTATTAATGAAAGAGATTTGATTTGAGCTGTAAAAGCTACGTGCCGTACTCTTGTTCGAAAGTAACTACGATGTATATTCTATTAATGAATAAAAAAATATTTCCTTCTTATAAAGTATGTCTCTGCATGTATTTCAAAGTTTTTATATTAATTAGCTAGTTTTCGTATCTTTGGTATGTAGTTTATATGGAATTTAATACAGTAGACAAAGTATGTACACAATGATCGTTAATTACATATTTTGTACAATTCTTCGTTTGTCGCGTAACGTTCAGTCCTCGTCGAACTGGAGGTCCAGTTCCAGGTCAAGAGCACTGACTTCTTGGAGAGTGTTGATGAACGTGTACCGCGAAAAGATCATGTACAGCTTTCGAAACCAGACGTACTGGGACTTGTGTGCAGCCATGGCACTCTGTAAGGGAAAGAAAACGTTAAGAAAGAAGTTCGTGTTAAAGAGCGATTAATTAGAATTAAACAAAATGTTCTGATTTACTTTGATTGTTCGCTTCTGCTCGTATGTTACTAGATACCAATATGAAGCTGAGAGTAGACTGACGGGCAAATCTAAGAGTTGAATGTACTTCCTGATTATATTAACGGACTCTAACACATACAGCTTGCAATCTGAAACATGATCAGACTTATATTATACAAGCCTGCTATATTTGTATGTCAATTGTATGAACGATACTGACAAGGAGGTACTTTTTTCTCTATGCATAATGCGGCGATCGCAAAATACAAGGAGATATGATTCTTATGCCGGCTCACTCCGTGTTTATCGAATGTCACGACGGCATTGATTTTATACATTTCTATGTATTGCAAGATACTCTCTGCAACTGTGTCTGTTGGCCACTGTATGCCTTGATCATCTGGCAGCTCGCCACTCCTGCACATTCATTTATCTATTCATTAACTATTATACAGTAGATAATTATCTTATTTTATTATACCATCATTGCACATTTAACACTTTTATGAAATTGTCCAGTTTTTACACCTTGCAAAAATTAGACAAACACACTTAGTGTTAAATGTATCGTTAGAATTAAGCGATTCTTTTTACGATAATCTTTGAAACAAAAATATAAGCCGGTGTTACTTAGATGAAGTTTATTAAAGCAAATCTAATTTAAGAACTCAAATCAATGTGTGTGTGTGTGTGTGTGTGTGTGTGTGAATTTTTTTAAATATTTTATTCTAACATAAGTTTGGTTCTTGGACAAAATTATTTGAAAATATTTTTGTTATGATGATAGAATAATTGTGAAAAATGTTTTATTTAAGGTATTTGGGATTTGTCATATTCTGTCTTAGTAACATCGAGTTAAATTGGAATACAGGCATGGCTCAGTTTAACTCATGTAAAATTAATTTTAATTTAGATTTAAATTACTCTTTATATTTCTTAGAATTAGAAAAAGATAAGAAGTGGAACTGAGCCTGAGTGTTTGCAAGTGAAGTTTCCCAAGACACACTCACATAATAATCGTTACATTGGCTTCTGGAATTCCCAACACCTTAGTACATTCCCACAGTTCGTCTATCCTCCTTTTGTCTCCACCTGCAAGCATACTGGTAAACATCAATAGACACAGCGTTTGCGTGATGTTTAGCCTGGTTTATTCCTGTCAGTTAATCCGGATCGTCGCTCGCGATCCTGGACGACAGAGGCCCGCCAGTGACATGTACCCATGGATAAGCACAGCAGGTAGATCTCGCTGGCTTTGGAACGGGTTAGCCAGTATACCAGTGGTCCGAAGAACATCACCTCATCGTCTGGATGAGCAGTGACCAGAAGAAGTCTGCCAGGTGGACCCGGTAATTGCCAGGCAGTATGGCCCACCCGCTTCAGAACTGTGTAAAGGAAGACACAGACACAAAGATATGCCAACAGGGCGATCAACAGCTGCCATGAAATCTCGCGGATGTAATAACACCACCAGCAGACTGCTTCGTTGAGCTGCAGACTGAAGTACAGCCGCACGTACTCCAGGTCGGCCATCATCCCAGGGATGATATCCACGTGCACAACACGAGTGTCGTTCATGGGCTATCGCGGTGCCATCATACCGTGAATTATCGCTCACGAGTGAGAATGTAGCGAACGTAACATTCTCGTCACGTCAATCGTCACTGCGGAGTAGTCGAATTTGAGGTTAGGTCACGCCAATCAAGCGATCTGAGCAGTCGCCGTTTTCGATATTTTACGGACGACACGAGGAGCAAAGAGGAATTAGGAAGAATTTAAGGAGATATTTAAGAGGAGGGAAAGGGAAATAGAATGAAAGTAGAATGATAGACACGAGATGTAAAGCAACATGTTAATATCATGTTTCTAACAACTCGAGATATATATATATATAACTGAGATAATTATTTTTATATATAATATAGTTAATTGTCAATCTCGTAATTGTAAACGTGAATTATATATAGTAGTTTTAAATTTATATTATACGACTTAGCGCATCGGAGGGGATCAGGGATTATTTTTTTTAAATTAGATGATTGCAATTAACATTGTTGTCATGCACACTATAATTAGGATTAAGTTAATTAATATTAATTGACTTGCTTGATGATTCAAATGTTGCATAAAGATTAAAGTAAATTTAATAGAAAATTAATATAAAAATTAATATAAAAATAAAAGTTTCGAAAAATCAATAGTAAAAAATCGATAGCAGTATATCGAACTTCGAGCGCGAGCTTCGACTTCTCGAAATCTCCCAAAGCTACATTCAGCCGTCAGTACTCAGCTGCTCAGCAGTCAGCTTTGTTTGCAATTGTTTTGGAACGGTATTTCTAATTTCTACTCCAATTTTTCCTTCGACATACAAATAATTATTTTTAAGAGTGTTTAAATACTTAGATAATAGGAATACAGAAAAGATTTTATAAACGTTTTATCGGCAAATATCTATGCTGAATATTCTTTTAGTATTGAACGCCGCGAAGCGTCTGCCACAGGTTATGTCATTGCGCGAAAGGTAGTTGGAAAATCGGAAATTCCAGGATGAAGAATGATCTGAATGATCAAGAAGAAATAGACTTGTATCGAGACACGTATGTAAGATATTTAGGTAATGGCAAGAAGATCGTCGAATGTTATTGAAGTTTTCTGTTATCTTTTCTTTATTTTATATTTCACAATTTTGTCAAACACAATACCAAATTATTGTTTTTAAAGAAATTAGTAAAGCCAGATGTGTGATATATCGACATTAAAAAAATATATATATATAAACAAGGTTTTTTTAGGTTATGCAAACGAAGTTGGAGAAGCATTTAGAAGCCTCGTGCCTAAGTCCATTGTATGGTCCAGTTATGCGTTATCGAGTGGATATGTTCTCGCGGATACGATACACAAGGGTGTAAAAGTTTACCAAGTACTGCGAGAATTTTTAATTTAATGGAACGGAAATAATTATTGGCCACTTGACGACTTTGATTATTACAGGAGGATGCTACTCCACAGAAAATAAAAAACGTCCTATTATCTACATCAGACACTTTGTTATGGCAGGCATTCGCGTCGGTAATAGTTCCCGGTTTTACCATAAATAGGATTTGCGCGGCAGTTCAATTCGCACAAAGAAAAAGTACAAGAGCAGCTTGGAAGAAGCCTTGGATCTCTACGCTTATTGGTTTGGTATCTATTCCTTTCATAATACATCCTATTGATCATGCTGTGGAGGAAGCAATGGATGTTACTTATAGGAAATGGACAGGATACCATCCAAAAGGGCCTCTATGTGGTATAAAACATGAATAACGATATGTAGTCAATTGATTATAGTAACCTAAGAGAGGTCGTGCTTACAAACAAGTTATTCTAATAAATATATTACAGAATTTATTCCATTTTTATGCAAAATAATTAAAAGACCTTATATTGATACTGGTGAAAGAATAATAATCATATTTTTTATGATCTTTATTGTCTAAGGATAACGATGATCAAATCGATGCCTGAAAGTTTTTTTAAAATCACATCAAAATGTAAATTAAAATTCTTTGTAATATGATATACGAGATAAGGAATACTTATAAGATACTAAATTTAAAAGAAGTTAAGCTAAACTTGATATCTATCGAAACATCTTAGAGAAACATATTATACGACTTCTCTTAGTTTAGAAACAGTACAGTATTACTGCCAAATATATTCCGAGACAGTACAACACAGTGCACTTAGAATATCTTACTGCTAATTGCAATAATGTTAAATATTTTTGTTATAATGTACAGTTATACAGCTACATTATATAGTTATTATATTATACAGCTGTATGTGCATTGAGATTTTTAGCTGGCTTTCATGCCACAATTGTTAAGCTATTGAATAAAGTTACTGATTTAACATTCCCTACATTATCTCGTAATCATCGTATACCTAAACCTATACAATTACTTTCACTTTAATGCATCATTAGTATTTTTTTTACAACATATTGATTATTTTCTTCATTTTTCTTTCGTTATTGTATGAAATAGAACATTTATAATAATCATTCGCTAAAAATAATTTGCAAAGGAAGCAACGTGCCGACGAAAGAAATTTATCGTCATGATATAAGAGGAATATTTAGTCAAGGTTCCGCGAAGTGAAGAAACAGTTTCGCAAGTTATGCATGGCGAAAGGTTCTACGCGGCTTCCACGGCGGTTAATAATGGCGCGATGTAGGGTAACACCCGTTTCATGAAAATGTATCATGCAAAAAATAATACCACATCGTAGCGGCGTCATAATTATACGCAAGCAGCGCCGATTACAAGATTATTATCTGCTCGTACCACACAATTTCCCTCGCTATCGCGGCTAAATCTGAGGTCCGCGCTCACGATAAATGCGATTGTAATCGATATACATTTTTTAACAGCGATTAGAGCGAATTCCGCATTAAGACATCAATGGCACCGACTAAGTGTTTTCCCTAGAGTAATTTACGATTGTAGATAACGCCATGAATTTTCCGCAAAGAATAAATGACGCAAGGTACATTGACACGTATCCATTTCGCGAAATTGAATTTCTAACCTGCAGAATCGACAGAGAATTGGAACTAAGATCCTTTAGATTCCTTTATATCTCGTCTTAGCGACATTTTAGCAATGTTTTAAAATCATTTTTTAATTTCTTTTGTAGGACAGTTTCAAATGTATGCATAATTCTCCGGAGTTCTTTCAGATTCTTATTTTTATTCCGAAAAAGACTGACGACGATCTTTTTAAAGAAGGAATATATCGAATTAAATAATTCATCATTACGGAAATTGAGACTAAGTGAATCTTTCGTAAATTTATGTAATGTTTTGATGACGCGTCATTCTTGAAACATATGTCGTTTTTGTTATATTATTTTATAATATTGTTTAAGTAATTGTTTAAGTAATACTATTTATTATTTAAGTATTTAACGTACTTGTTTTTTGTTTTACAGATAGTTGATATGGTAAATAACGGAAAAATAACAATAAAATTGGCGACATATTCAACATGCAAAATATTTGAATCGAGCCAATAAAGCGTTAAACAATTAAATATTGAACAATATTAAGTGAAAATGTACCGAGAGGTTTAAATCAAATGAGTGAAGAAAGCCATTTTCGGTAAAAGAGTTTTTTTAATGCTTATAATATTGTGTGAATTTTTACAATTTTCAGTTTTAACAAATTACGCGTTGTCTTAACGCTAGTTATACACACTCTTTTTCTACCATTCCTAAAGGGAACAAAAAAATCAAAATAATGTCAATTTGATATCATATTGACGAATTTAGTCATTTTTTGGTCAAGATAAAAATTTCAATCTCAGATCTAAGAATGACTTTATACTCTGAATGCGGGAATTTTGGATCATTCTGATACATATGAAGAGTAATTTATATATAAAGTCACATTTTAAATCATCTGAGATCGAGATTTTTATCTTGACCAAAAAATGACATAAATTCGTCAATATGACGTCAAATTGACATTATTTTGATTTTTTTATTCTCCTTGGGTTGATGTACATATATGGTTCCCTAGGACCCCATCCATATTTCTAACTGTAACTTCCGTAAAAATGGACATATTTCAATTAATTTTTTTTCAATCGATGGAGAATTTATTAAGGAATAAGTCCATAGTGTGTAAAAGTCGATAGGTTTAAGGAGCTCCGAGATATACATATGTATAGGTTCAAAGTAAAAGAAAAGTTTAGAAACACAAAAAAATCTCGATTTAGCAAATTGCACTGAGGTTTCTGGGACCCCAGTGTGTATTGCTAGGGTTAAACAGTTTTAGGCTGATAAGTATTACATTTGTCGTACGACAAATTTTTTAAGCGTGTTAATTGACTGCAAGACAGAAAGATCCGAGAACTTCATTGTCTTGCAGCCGATTAACAGATCTGAAAAACTTGTACGATAAAATACAGATGAATGTAAAGCCTGCGGCACTGACAGCACCGCAGCCAATACAAGTGGCAAGATTCTAATCCAGCTAGCAATTCAGGAAAACAAGCATCATATGCCGTTGGCTTTATATTAACCTTAGGCTGGTATTACATTTGTCGTAGGATAAATGTAATATTAGCCTTAAACTGAAAAAAAGCTGGAGTACATAATATAAATTAAATTGACAAGCAATTTAATATTATTGATGCTAATAACTTATCAATTTATTTTATATGTAAACTTATTTATTTATTTATTTATTTATTTATTTATTATCAATAATATTAAATTGCTTGTCAATTTAATTTGTAATATTACGTACTCCAGCTTCAGTTTAAAACTGTGTTTTTAAGCCGACAAATAATCAGTTTGTTTGAACTGGAAATTGTAAAAATTTATATAATATATTATTAGGGACTAAGACCCGCGCTTTGACCGAATATGGATCTCTTCGCTTATTTAATTAAATATTATCTTAAATATCGAAACAATTAAATACCATTTAAAACATCAATGAAACAATTAAATATTGATAAAATAATAATACACCTTCTCTATTCTTTTTATTTCTCATTGCGAATGAATAATTTACGATAATATCAGCTTCGGTGAATATCCTCGATGCATCGATATAACGAATCGATGATGAAATTCCGTTGTAACAACGGAGGGATAAAATCACCAATCGTAACAAATATAATAGAGAATGATCGTATTTCGCGTTTGCTAGTACCTGTCACGATTACAGTTCGAAGAACAATAGTACATGCCAACGGTACACGCCACTGTCCGCTCACTCGAGTATCGGCGTTTAAACTGATTTCGAAATATCAGATCTTTTCTATTAGGTATGTGTGATATCGCTGCGTGTCACATTATTATGG